AAGATGGTGTCCACACCCAACCTCTTCATGTGAGAGACAGTCAGATTATCAATGTAGCCACCATCTAACAGCATACTGCCCTCATCGCAGAGCGGCGGAAGCAAGCCAGCCAGTGACATGGAAGCTCTGATGTATCTCCACGCATAGCCACTGGTGTGGTATTCGATTCGGCTCTTGCTGATGTTTGTCGTGTTGCAATAGTACTCGAGCCAAAAGTCTTCAATCTGAGTCTTGCCAAACGTCTTGAAGATACCGCGATTGAACTCGTGGCCCGTGGTGTAAGAGGCAGTCGGGTATGTGAGATCGAGAGCGAAACGCCACATGCTGGCCATGCGGCCAGAAAACTTCTTGGCGAGGCCGAAGATGGGAACAACATCGGCATGGCGGGCATATAGAGCGCCGATGAACGCGCCGATTGAGGTCCCGCCAACAACGTCAATGGGGATGCCAGACTCTTCCATGGCCTGAATGATGCCGATTTGGGTGATGCCTCTTGCGCCGCCACCACCTAGGACGAGGCCAACAGATTTGCCGCAGAGACGTCTCGCCAGACGATGGAAGTCGCCCTTGTAGGGTGCATCTGGAGAGTAGAACGGACTGTGCCGAACCTTCCTCGAAGTGTACTTTTGAATCTCCGCCTGGATGATCTGAACCCTTTCCTTCAAGGTGCTCGTTCGCTTTGAGGGCGGATGCGCAGGCATGATGTTTGCCCCGAGAGGCATTTGGACGTGGTAGTGTCCACCATTGATCCACATCCGATTCCTCAGCCAGGCTCGAGTCAACCCCGACTGGGAGTACCTCTCAGAGTGGAGAAGGACGAGAAGTTTCCTCGCAGTCGACTTCATGCCCAACATGAAACGCTCATACTCTCCAATCTCCGGAGATCCTTCAGCAAGACCAACAAGAAGGATGCAATCGGCCTGAGTGATGCATGTCTGAGTCCAGGGAGAATTGACGTTGGTGTCTGATGCATAGTTAGCATCGGTGTTTGAGCAACGAGTGTCATCAACAAGCGTGAGATAGGTAGTCCAATCAGGAAAAAATTAGAGTATGTTTGGCCATCAACGGCTTTTGCCTCCGCAAACGGTGTTTGTTCATCATAAAAGGGACAGTGTAGGTGAATAGAGAGAGAAAAAAGGGATCTTACCTGCAACGTATACGACGAGGCCATACTTTTCCTCGAGGTCAGCCAAGTATTGGGAGAGCTTCAGCTTTCCCATCTTGTTGAAAGCATGCTTGCCGAGATGGTTGAGAATGGCAGATTGGTTGAGGGAGGTGGCACCGTTTGCAGGACCAACCTGAGACAAGGCGTTCATCAACCGATTACCAAACTCAACCACAGGAACACCAGAAGTCACTGGCAAGATCGCAACGGTCCTCAGGTTGAGTGACGAAGAGCCTTTGGTGATTGTGTTAGCGTTGCCTGCCTCCTTGGAGAGAAGCTGTGAGGGGTCATCGACAAGGTTCCTCATCCGCGACGCAATGATCTTGGAAATCTTGATCGTGATGTTCGGGTGCTCCTGGGCAAGACTGTTGAAGAGTGTGCGTGGGAACTTGACCAGCTCAGTCTGACGGATGGCATGGAGCGTGCCTGGTCTGACAGACTCCGTCAAGACTTCGAGTTCACCCACACTCTCGCCTTGACCGAACTCGGCTCGCACACTGACACCGCCATCTTTCCTGTCCTGCACGAGACGAAGTCGGCCATTGAGAACAATGTGAATCGCCTCGCTCTCCTCGCCCTCATGGAAAAGCACTTGACCAGCATCAACCTGCTCCCAGTCAAGGGCAAAGTCGATGTGCATAATTAGACGCGGGAGCAAGCTCGTCAGTCGCTTAGCCATTGTAAGCAGAACAATGGGATAACGGTCGACGATCCTCTCGAGAGCGGAACGCGGCAGAAAGCCGACATAGACGTCCGTCTTGGCCACGACGTCGATAAAAGATCGGTACGACGACACTGTGCCTACGTATCCAGCAAGGCCACCTGGCTTAATGAGTGACACACTGCGACGATAGGGCTGCTTCTTCTTCGCGTCCATATGATCAGGCGGATACGCAGGAGACCCATCCATACCCATATGGTCGGTGTGCAGAGTCGTTCTACTTGAGGACTGCAAAATGTCTGCTGAGGTGTCCTCCTTCGACGTGCAAATGTCGAGGAAGCCATCAACAACGTAGTAGAGGCCAGGATTGCGCTCGCCTTGCTCAACCAAAACGGAACCCTTGGGGAAGAAGACAATCTCCACATCATCCTTCATATCGCTTGCCAGGATATGCGCATTGGGTGGCGTGTTCAGTGTAAAGCCTCCAGATGTCATGGATTCCGTGTCTCCATCACCAGAGGCATCGAAAGGGCCCATTAGACCGAATGCATTGTTGCCCAGTCCAGGTCTTGATCGCCTCTGGTCGTAAGAGAAGAGCCGTGGGGATCCTTCGACAGACTCAGCCTCACGGGAGACGCTTCCGTTGCTGCTCAGACCGATCGCTTTGAACATACATTCAAGGATGGACTGACGGAAGAGGTTGTCTTCATCCAGGGACTCTCGGCCGTCGATCGAGCCTCGAGATTGCCTTTGAGTTGTGAACGGGTTGAATGCTCGCTGGGCAAGCGGGCTTGTACCCTCGTGACGGAGAGCGTCAGCGACTTGTTCGAGGTGAACACTAGCCGAACCAGATGGTCGGTGGCCAATATGCCGTGCTGACTGGATGTTGGCCAAAAGATCACCAGGACTGGTCTGAGTGGAAGCTCTCTCCCTTGGCGGTCCGATGGTAGTAGCGACCTGAGAAAATGACCTCTCCTTGGTGGTCATGGAATGCATCATTGCATCCTTGCGAAGAGTCGAGGTTGACTTCCGCCGACGATGCGCGTTTGCGTTGTGCAGTGCTATGCCTTTGCTCTCCGATTCGCCGCCCACTCTCTCCCGCTCCCGATCAAACTTCTCCTTCAGACGCTGCAAGGCATCGCCCCTAAGCATGTTGGGCAACTGACATGAGGTAAAAGAAAGCATGTTCTTCTCCGTTTGCAGGACTTCACCAGTGAGTCCCAGGTAATTGTAAGCCGTCGCCAATGTAACTCTCTGGAAACGGGAGAGAATGACTTGAACAATGTGGGAAGTGGCCTTGGGGTAGACCTTGGTGAGTCGGCGAAATGCGCTTGCTGGGATGATGGCGATAGTCGTGTCTACCGTCGCCCTTGCAATGATATCTGGGTGCGCTGAGCCAGAAGTTGCTCGACTCTGAAGAGGAGGGCGCTTCGGCTGGCGAGCACTGCTGGGGACACTGCCGCTGCTGTCAAGCGAAATAGGTGGAATTCTTGCGCTGCCAGGCAAGTTGGGTGTAGTGGCCCGCTTTGGAGGCTCCTCAATCCTTACCCCAGTCCTTTCCTCCGATGTCTCTGGAAACTCGGGAGTTGCTGGGAACGGACTGGCAGGGTCTGATGGCATGCGGCGGAAGCCTGCGGTGCGCGGGAATGGTGAGGTTCTCAGTCCACCACTGCCTGAGGTGGGTTCCGGGGTGTCGTCATCTGTCGAACGAAGCTTGACGTCTTCCGTGAACAGTGACATGATGGAGAAGAGGGACGACATGGGAGCTCCATTGCGAACCTCCGTAAGCAGTTGGTATCTCTGTTGTGGGGCTGATGACATGTCGTCGTCTTCTCCAGGATAGGCAGAATCTCCCCCGAAGCTGTCGCAAGGGTCCGGATCCATGGCTCTAGCATTTCGGCCAGATTTGACAAAGATTTCCACAAGACCGTCGACGACGATACAGAATCCCTTCTCCTCTTCCAGGTTGAAGGTCTCGCCAGCGATAAGCTTGCGAGTCTGCATGCTCCGGGTCAACTCGTGAAAGACCTGCCGCTCAAGGTAGCCAAAGATTCTGATGGCACTGAGGAACTCGTCCAAATAGCTCGAAAGGCCTGATTTCTTGCCCTCATCGTGGGATTCGGGAAACAAGTCGACGTCAGGCTCTTTCCTCTGCGGCTCCGGAGGAAGTCGAGAGTACATGTTGAGGATGCGATATCGCACCACCCAACTGACGGCGGATATGATGGCAACCATGATTACCATGCTGCGCGTCAAGTCAGCAGAAGCTCAGAGGCAGCCTGATAGAATGATGAAGCGCGTACAGAGTAGTGGCGTTCATCGTCACAGTCCAGCTTGTCGAGAACAAGGTGAAGAGGACGGTAGGAATTGTAATGGTAACGATTCGAATCGCCCAATACAGGATCGAAGAGATCAAGGACAGAATGGCGAGGATCAACCGGCCAAAAAGCCCCAGCCAGCTGGACGATCCCTGAGCTGCGACGACCTCCTGCGCACGCGTAAACGCGGACGGCAGGGCCTCGGGAGAAGCTTTCATTGTGGCCGACAAGCTCTCTGATACCGCGTGGGTGGCACTCGAAATGTCGGACGACGACATGGCTGCGGTGTGTGATGTTGGGACGGGCGTTGCAGCATAATGCAGCAAGCAGGTGAAAAGACAGATTACATGGTGCAGTGCGACCCTGAGGCTCGCAGGGTGCGGGCAAGGGAGAGCCTCTGGTTTTAAGCCGTTGTTTGGTGGCTGAGACGCAGGACCGAGGTGGAAGGTGGTTGGAGAGAGAAGAGGGAAAAAATAGAAGAGGGAGGAAGAAAAGAGCTTTTGCGCTGTGGGGGAGCTTGAAGAAGCTTGCAGCATGGAGGAACATGGGCACGGGCGGTCAGCCAGTTTGTGCCGCCCCACCCCGCCAAAATGTTTCCAGGGCGGGCGGAACGTGCGGCATGTGACGGCAGCCCGGCCTAACAGTGCGTGCCCATGGCTTTCCTTAATGTGGTGGTGTTGGTAATGCTGCATGGAGGGGCACGACTGGCCTGCACTTGTGTAAATCATACACCAGGAAACTTTGATCGTTAAAGATCAGTTCACGGTTTCCAACAACCAACTATCGACACCAAGTTGCGCACTTTCTCCCGCTATACGACGCATGTTTTGAACCTAACACCCAACAATTAGACGCGATGCCCTTTGCGCAGCTCATTCTCGGTGCTCCAGGCTCTGGAAAGAGCACCTATTGCGATGGCAGTAGGCTACCCTTGCCAACACATACAACTTTGTCGTCTACGATGCTAATACAATGCGCCTAGTGCACCAGTTTATGGGCGCCATTGGCCGCGCATGCTCCGTGGTCAACCTCGATCCCGCAAACGATCACACAAACTATCCGAAAGCTCTCGATATCCGCGACCTCGTCAAGCTAGAAGATATCATGGCTGGTGACAAGCTGGGCCCCAACGGCGGCATCCTCTATGCCCTAGAGGAGCTCGAGCACAACATGGAGTGGCTGGAGGAAGGCTTGAAAGAATTCAGCGAAGACTACATTCTCTTTGACTGCCCGGGTCAAGTCGAGCTATATACACACCACAACTCTCTGCGCAATATCTTCTCCAGGCTGCAGAAGATTGGCTTTAGAGTAAGCTGCCCACGATAATCCCCCCCCGGACCGACCTCGCTGACGTTTTCCTAGCTTGTCGTCGTACATCTCTCCGATTCCTTTTGCTTGACCCAACCCTCGCTGTACATCTCCAACCTACTCCTGGCCCTTCGCGCCATGCTCCAGATGGACATGCCACACATCAACGTCCTGACCAAGATCGATAAAGTCGCCTCCTATGACGATCTCCCCTTCAACCTCGAATACTATACCGACGTCGATGACCTCTCGTATCTGATCCCATACTTGGAAGAAGAATCGCCGGCGATGCGCAACGAAAAGTTCAGCAGACTCAATGAAGCCGTGTCAAACATGATCGAGAGCTACAGCCTAGTCCGGTTCGAGGTCCTGGCAGTCGAAGACAAGAAGAGCATGATGCATCTCCTCCGGGTGATCGACCGAGCAGGAGGATACGCCTTTGGCAGTGCAGAAGGCGCAAATGACTCCGTCTGGCAGGTCGCAATGCGCAACGAGTCGTCTATGATGGAGGTGCAGGATATCCAGGAGCGCTGGGTCGATCGTAAGGCGGAATACGACGAGCTGGAGCGGAAGGAATGGGAAGAGCAGGCCAAGATGCGGGAGGAGGATGATCCCAGCGCCGGGCAGGCGCCGCCGCCGCCGGCCGACGATTATGATCCAGACTTTGGCGACATGACGATACCTGCAGATAGTGGCATAAAAGTAGTGCGCAAGAACAAATGATACCCTTCAGCCGTCATCTTCAATCACGTCATCTTCGTCAGACACGTCCGACGCATCGAACATGACCGCGTCCTCGGCTTCGGTCCTGGGCTCTGAGAAAAGCGGCAACGCGCCGCCGGCAGCAGCCGCGGAAGAATCTTTGGCGGCAAGCACGAGCTGTCTCGCTTGACGAATGGCCTCTTCCTCGGCCTTTCGAATAGTCCCGCTGACTCTGACAACCTTGAAGGTGCAGGGCTTGCCTTCTCCGCTCTTGAGAGGCACGCGATTCATAAACGTCAGAGCAGCCCAGACTAGACGGTAGTGCGCTCTCTTCACTTTCAAGATGAAAGTCGACGTCGCCTGAGAGAGATACTTGACTACATGACTGTTAGATGCTGCTCAGCACAGACGGACTTATCCTTCTCCGTGAACTCACCGACGAGATTTCCTTCTATAGCACCAGAACCGTAATCACCGAAAAGAATAGCGACCTCAGCTCGTATCGCCTTAAGAAGTGACTGAGGTGTGAGACTTCCGGTCGTCGGTTGATGCATCACCACAAAATCTGGAACATTGGATTTTTGTTTTGAATCTTCTGGCGGGTACAGAATATTGACGAGAATGTATCTCTCTTTGATTCGGACCATCTTGGCGCGCTCAAGATCGTGTCATCCAACGAGAGGAGGAAATCGGCCTTGAAAGTTGAGTCTTGTAAAAGTTCAAGCTTGAGGTACGTATCCTGCAAGTGCAATCCGTTGGAATGGGTCCATGCAAGGACATGAGTATCATTGCTGACTAAGGCGGGGAGCTTCACCTCCGGTAGCTCCCTCCTACCACAAGCTCCCGACGTCACCAGGCATACTAGGTAATCAATCCATTGAGGTGAAAAATACCTAATTCATCTGATTTGATGTGCTTGATGGTCGCCGATTTATCTTGAAGAAAACTGTGTCTGGAAACCATCTTTCACCACTGCTTATAGCATCTCGAGCTACCTCCACTATGACTGACACCCCGCTCAAAGTAGCTATCTTGATCGTGTCGACGACAGCATCGAAGGACCCGTCGACAGACAAATCGGAACTAATCCTACGAGATGTGATTGAAAATGAGGGTGGCGGTAAATGGCAGGTCACCGATACCAAGATTGTGCAAGATCATGTCCCCCAGATCCAACGGCAAATCATGCTCTGGGCGGATTTGGGTCCCGTGGAAGGAGTCAACTTGATCCTTACTACTGGTGGAACTGGATTCGCTGTGTCAGATAACACGCCCGAGGTACGATGAACGCCATATCTGCATATATGCGATCGATGGATGCTGATCACCAAGCAAAGGCTGTCGCAACTCTCCTCCATAGGACCGCCCCAGGCCTGGTTCACGGAATGCTCGCTGCATCCCTGGCCGTGACTCCATGTAAGTGAGTATGATACTCACAAACAACCCCAAAACTGACTGCAGTAGTTGCAATGATGTCAAGACCGGTGGCAGGTACACGCAACAGCACCGTCATCGTCACTCTACCCGGCTCCCCTAAGGGCGCCAAGGAAAACTTACAAGCCATCCTCAAGACCTTGCCGCATGCGTGCGTACAGGCCGCCGGCGCTGACTCCAGGATCCTTCACTCTGGCGGGGTGAAGAAACTCGAGTCTGAGGCGGGAATCCAAGGCGCCTCTGCAGGATCAACAACCAAAAAAGAGCAGACGCACTCTCACGACCACCACAGCCATGATCACAGTCACAGCCACGGCCACGGCCATGGACACTCACATACTCACGGCCATGGCCATGGGGGCCTCGTCAGACACACCAAGCCGGAAGACAACCCCCTCTCCAACGATCCGAGTCTCGGCCCAAGTCGCAGATACAGAGAGTCACCGTACCCGATGCTGGAAGTTGACGATGCCCTGCGACTGATCAAAGACTTCACCCCTGACGCCGAGGTCGTGACGACCAAAGTAGACGTCAACATCATCAACTCGGTTCTCGCAGAAGACGTAACGGCCAGAGAAAGCGTCCCGGCCTTCAGGGCATCCATTGTGGACGGGTACGCGGTGGTGGTACCCGAGGACGGCAACATGAAGGGCGTCTTCCCCGTCACCGCAGTATCCCACGCCGCCCCAGGCGAGGTCAAGACCCTCAAGGAAGGAGAAATCGCGAGAATCACAACAGGAGCCCCCTTACCCCCGGGAGCCACCTCGGTCATTATGGTCGAGGACACCATTCTGAAATCCAAAACCAAGGACGAAAAGGAAGAAAAGGAGGTGGAGATTCTCGCTGACGGCATCAAACCCGGCGAGAACATCCGTGAAGTCGGCAGCGACATTCAAGAAAACGACACAATCCTCAGAAAGGGTGAACAAATCTCTGGCGTCGGTGGCGAAATCGGTCTCCTCGCAGCCGTCGGCGTAGCAGAAGTCCAAACCTACAAGCGCCCCGTCGTCGGCATCCTCTCCACGGGCGACGAGATCATCGAACCCTCCCGCCCGGGCGGCCTTCGCCTCGGCGAAGTCCGCGACACAAACCGCATCACCCTCATGTCTGCAGCCCGCCAGTGGGGTTTCGAAGTCGTCGACCTCGGCATCGCGCGCGACAAGGAAAAGGCCCTCGAGGAGAACCTGCGCGAAGGGCTCCGCCGCAGCGATCTGCTCATCACCACGGGCGGCGTCTCCATGGGCGAGCTGGACCTGCTCAAGCCGACCATCGAGCGGGCCCTCGGCGGCACGATCCACTTTGGCCGCGTGGCCATGAAGCCCGGCAAGCCGACCACGTTCGCCACGGTGCCCGTCAAGACGACGCTCGGGAAGCGGGTCACCAAGACCATCTTCTCGCTGCCGGGAAACCCGGCGTCCGCCCTGGTGACGTTTCACCTCTTTGTCCTGCCGGCGCTGCATAAGCTGTCTGGCATCGAGCCCGCGGGCCTGCCCAAGGTTCCCGTGACGTTGGGTCACGATTTCTCTCTCGACAAGGCTCGGCCAGAGTACCACCGTGCCATAGTCACCGTCGGAAAGGACGGGTCTCTGTCTGCGAGCAGTACCGGCGGTCAACGAAGCTCAAAGGTTGGCAGCCTAAAGTCTGCAAATACCCTGCTCGCTCTCCCGGCCGGTTCGCAGCCGTTGAAGAAGGGGGCCAAGGTGGAGGCTCTGATGATGGGGGACATCCGTGTGGAGTATTGAATCGTTAAGCTACACCCGTACTAATAATAAGAATGCGTGTATGATGACATGATCTTCGGTCTTCAGTCAGTAACGTTGATCCCTCATGTGCCTAGCTGTGCTTGCACGGAGCTCAAAGGATACTCGTCAACTCCTATACCCGATAGAATACACCAGCTACGTGTAAATGACTTGGGCCGAGATCCTATACTAAGCGAATCAGAGGTCGAAAGTTTATGACGCGCAGAAATCATCTCGATGAGGAGCTATAATACGTTGATAGTGTACAATACAAAATGTCCTCGCCCTGCCTGTATGCCATTAACGCCCGCCCAAGTAAACCTTGGTGTAATGCAGTGCTCCACTGTACATCGTGTCCGAGGTAGATAGTTGCTATGCTGTCGGTGATAAACCTCCTCTTTTCGAACCTTTCATATCGTGTGGGCAGCTTGTTATGCCTTATGCCTTGCCGAAAGCGTTGGCCTTGCCAGAGACAAGAAGTCCAACAATCAGACCGAAAAGACCGAGGACAGAGCTGAAAATCTCGACAACGAGAATCTTGACGAAACTGTACCCCGGCTAATTAGCACATGTAAAAGATCGCTCATCGTATCTGGAACAAACATACAGTGTAGGGTCGGCGGCATCGGCCAGCGCGGCTCCACTGCCGTTGATGCCGACTGCGACACCACAGATGAGGTTGCACATTCCGACGGTGATACCGGCCCAGAAGAGGGCGAAACCAGTGTAGTAGCTGTTGCCGTCGTGCAGAACCTCACCCTGGACGTTCTCGAGCTGGGCGGAGAAGACGATAGCCATGATGACGCCGTAGATGGCGACGACTTCGCAGAAAATGATGGAGATCAAGTTCTTAGTTCGCACACGCGGGGCCTTGACGCCCGCGCCGAGGATGGAGGAGCCGGTGATGAAAATACCCCTAGATTTGGTCGCCATGTTAGATTATGCATTGGCCCTGTGTCGTCAATTGCTGGGAAGCTTCGCTCCATACCATGCCGCGCCTACAACGGACAAACCGATGCAAAGGGCAATGCCCGTGTCCGCCCACGCGTAGGGTGAGATAGATTCGAGGAACTCGCCGACGTTGAAAGCCTCGCCCGATCCCGTGAAGAGCATGTCTATGTAAAAGGTGTTAGCTGGGACTGTGATTCGCGGAATAGTCGATGCCATCGCGGAGATGGGGTTTCGTACAAGCTCCTACAACGAGAAGGGTGCTCCCAATGCCTCCCAGGCCATATGTGAGACTCATCGTGCTCGATTCGGTGCGTTGCGTTGCCTGTGTCGTGGTTGTTGTTGACGGTGGAGGGCTTTGGGGGGCGTTGCAGCTACGTCGAGCTCTCTAGTCCAGGCCAGTGAGGTAAGGTATCTGAGGTAAGGCAGAGGGATCCAGAATCGGGAAGGTCACATGATGTGGCTTGATGCATCCTTAGGTAATGCGAGCCAGAGTCAAGGCAAGAAAGACTGACAGGCGTGGCAGGCACCAGGGTGTCATCAGCCACGGCAAGAGCATGTCAGCCCCACATACAGCAGATGAATAAGCAGAATCCAAGGATATCCTCAAACAATGCCACTATAAATACAACCTCGCCTCTTTCACACTCACAACCGCCTAAAACGACCCGCCCGTAGGAGATCAGAACAAATCTCCAAGATGGCCGCCGCACCTCAATCGTTCTACGAGCTTTATCGCCGTAGCAGGTACAGCGCCATCCAAATTAATTACTACATACCTGTGCTACAGATGACTAACTCATTTGCTTGATGCAGCATCGGCCTTGCGCTGACAGATATGCTGGACGATCTCATCAGCGAGGAGCGTATTCACCCTCAGTTGGCGATGAAGATTCTGGCCAACTTCGACCAGGCCATCACAGAGGCTCTGCAAAAGAGCGTCAAGGCTCGCTTGACTTTCAAGGTACGTGCTGCTTACTTACCATCTTGCTCGTTTGCGCCGGAGTTCGATCTCTGTTGCCAGCCTCCGGCGCATAACTCAGAATACTTCTAGTTTAGAAGCGATTCCCTCTTGGAATGCGCAGAAGATGCGCCCCAATTGGCACGAGAATTGTGGCTCAGAGCTAACGTTGCGCGCATCACAGGGAAGCCTGAGCACCTACCGATTCTGCGACGAAGTCTGGACGTTTCTTATCAAGAACGTTCAATTCAAGCTGGATAATGGCGGGCAGATCGTGACCGCCGACAAGGTCAAGATCGTCAGCTGCAACGCCAAGAAGCCCGGTGAAGGCCCTTGAAGGGTATGCGTCAACGATAGTGAGCATCAGAGGCGGCGTCGACCACCTTACTCGGATACACGAACGAGACGCACTTGCGGACAAGGGCGATGGGAACGACAACGAGCGCCCCCAGTGGCTGCATATTACAGGCGTTCAGGTTCATGCTCTTACGATGGCACGGTTTAAGGATACGGGAGTTTGTTCTTTCAAGATTGCCATTTTGATACCATCAGAGGTTTATACAGCATCGTTCATAGGTTTGCGTCAGCGCATCAATAGACTGGCTGCCTGCATTTGAACTATGTTACGACTGGTAATCTTGATTCATGATTCGCTGCGACCAAAACCCAAGTCCGGAATGGTATTATAGCTGGATTGTAGAAATTGGCTCAATGCAGTGATTTGGTTCTTGCCATTGTATTATTCTGCACAGTATGTAGACAAATACTGCTCGCCCATCATACGTCATCTTGTCCCGTTTGTCCCAACTGGGCCAGTCACGATGTCGGATATGACCTCCATTGGCATCTATGCGTTATACCGGTGAATTGTATAGAGACGGAGAGTTGCCGCATAATGTGCTTACAAGTTCTGGCTTCTGAGCCTCGAAGTTGAAGCAATAGCCCCTGCCACTTTGTAGAGGGGAAGCCGATGCCGGGTAACTGTTGAGCCAGCCGGGGCCCCATCTTCCGGAAACGGGGAGTACAACCGAAGTGGTTCCGCGTCGGATTTCCTCCCTGACAATTGGCGATTGGAGACTTGTAACCTGGCGCTTCTTTTCCCCTTCAGCCTCAACGGCCTGTGATTCCAACGTCTTGGTCGCCAATCGAATTCCTTTGTTCATCATAAAAACTTATTTCAAGTTCCAGTGATACTAGTACAAAGATTTTGTCAGACCCACGTTCAAACAGCGAAACAACACCTCCGAGGCTCTGAAAGACAAGGACGCGTGCCCCTGGATTTGCACGCACTGGGATGTTCCCCTTACACTAGTCGTGCGACTTCTCGAGGACTTTGTCAAACAATCCCATCCACACCATTGAGACACACACGCCAGTAGTCGCCATCAGACTTTCCCAACTCCCGCGAACCCGCTCCTCTTTTCTCTGCGCGCACACACACTCTATCCGGCACGTGGGTACATCTGTCTGCAGGAGTTGCTGCTGCACCGAAACCGCAGCAGCAGTAGCAGCGGCGCACCGAGCTACCTTACCTCATCCCCCATCGCCAAGCCCACCACCAAGGCCGTCATCCATCCCGTCCCATCCAAGCAAAGCAGTAATTAGCAGGGATCACTCACGCCAACACCCAATCTCCCTCCTTCCTCTTCCTCTCCTTTCCCTCTCCACATAATGCTCCGCCAGCGACAAGCCGCCGCAGCATCCGCCCCCGACCGCCGCTCTCAAAAGGATCAGATACCCACCATGGCGGGCGCGACGACGACGACCCTGGACCATGAGCGCAGTCCGCTGCTCCCACGCCACGAGGACGACGCACACAGCGAACCGCCAACCGAGGCAGAAGACGACGACGAGCAAGCCACTGAGAGCATGGCTTGGGCACGACGGAATCAGTGGATTGTGCTCGCCGTTGCGAGCGGCGCTTGCGCTGCTTTCAATGGCGTGTTTGCAAAGTTGTGAGTTGATATTCTCGATTCGGCTCATTCGGGGGACTATCGAGTGCGATGACAAGACTTTTTACCACTTTGAGTCGACATCGCAGCTTGAGAACCAAGTTCACTGCTTTGCTTTACCAGAGCAGCTTGTTTCTTAGTTGGTAGCTCTGTGAACTAAATGCGCTCATTTTGAGTGTCTTGGGCACACTGTCGGGCTACGGTCTGTTGAATGCTTTACTTACAACTGCATAGGACCACAACTGAGCTCACAACGACAATATCTCAAGCAATCTCCAACTTTCTTCATCTTCAAGATATCGAAGGAGCCTTTGAGGTTGTCATGCGAGCAGTGAGTTGAATTGGATACTCAACATCATCAAACTGCTAATCCTGTCTCAGGTCTTTTTCGGTCTCAACCTCGTCTTCAACGGCATCGTGAGTTGCCCAGCCTTTTATTCTCACCTACGTGAACTCAACTGACACTTACCTCAGATGTGGACTCTCTTCACAAAAGCACTTGCCAAGGGTCAGTCAACCACGCAGGTGTCCATCATGAACACGTCCTCCAACTTTGTCATCACCGCCATGCTCGGCTTCGTCATCTTCTCCGAGTCGCTGCCGCCGCTCTGGTGGGTCGGCGCCGCCATGCTCGTCGCCGGCAACGTCATCATCGGCCGCAAAGATGAGGAGGCGGACAAGTCTGGCGACTACGCGCCGGTGCCGCAGCAGCCGGGTCTCGCTCCCGTCCCGCTGGATGGCGGCGACGAGGACAAGGACTCCGAGGACGAGGATATTGTCGATTTAGGGGACTTGAACTCTGCGGAACATCGCACTTGAGTTTAGACTGAGGCGATTGCAAATAGGAGACCTTGTACATGTTTGCTTATATATATCATGCATGTTGGTTGGATAGATAGACAATACCCCGAGTCGATTAAGAGTGAACTTAGATGGGCTCCAAATACTTCTCTCTGCTTGTATACAACTGAAGCGACTGGCTCCATACATGAGTGTTTGCATGATCTGGTAGTCGCTACCTACCACTCGACGCATACCGCTCCTCAGAGTGCAAACGAGTTTCTATTAGCGATGCTTCGTCAAGCTATGCTCGTTAATCTGCATTAAGAAAGAAAGAGACAAAAAAAAAGTGAAAAAAAGTGATTCGAACCGGCATAAATAATGCTACAGCGAGACGCCAGGCATCTGTAGACTTTAAATGGCAGGTTCGCGTCAGTGAAGGAGAAGCCGCACGATGAACCACTGGCCCAAAGTGTACTTTCTCGCCCACCCCGACAGACTCTGCGACTTGGTGGGCTATGAAGGACGACGAGGAGTGTATTCGTGTGGGGCTGTGTTGAACCGCAGAGGTGCCTGGTCGTGAAGTGTCTCTCAAGGTTAGTCAGTGAGAACTGCTACCTTGCTTGCGCTTTTTACTCTACTCGACGAGGGAGATTATCCCTTGCCCATGTTATGTCGGGACCAGGCTCAGCTAGGAGATGCGAAATATCCGAGTCCAGTGTCTAAGAGAATCTATAGCCCATCGCTTCAATTAAGATGATTACTAAAGCTTCTGAAAGGGGGGATGGAGGCCGCTATCTCGCCATAAGTGAAGCATATTGATGGATGTAGTGGCTTGAGATCCGCATGACATGTAACTTATCAATATCATCACAGCTAGAAGAGTGAAAAAGAATAAGCTATCGTCCATAGCGTTGTACAGGACCGCGAGCCAACGGAGGAGGCCTTCGCCATTTCCGGCTAGAACTATATCTCTCGGTCATCGGAAGGATACTGTCTATTGATAACTCATCGATCTTTGATCCCTACAAGAGCTGGGATGCAGGGTGGTTGGATAATAGGGGATGACCTAGATGGCCTAGATGGCCTAAGTAAGAGGAGTGTGCCTTGTATTAAAGAAATAACCTCCCTGAGCTCCGAAGAAGTACTGACTCACTAGCATATGTGCCGTCAAGAAGGAGAAGACGCCTAGATCTCACCTCCTTCCCTCTTGTTACAAAATCAACGCTAGGTAGCCGAGAAGTATATCAGAAAGCGCTGACCTCAATATCGCGAGTCCTCTCAACCACCCTTAACCATTTGCTTCTTCCTTCAACCCTATGCATTTAGATATCAAAAGGGTCTCAACACCAAAGGATTCAAGACGAAAAAAGCGTTCACCCCGCCGGTGCTGAACTGGAGGCTACATCTCTTGGTGCTCATGCTGGGATTCGAACTCGGGTACTCGCTAAGCCTGTCGCCGAGTAGGTTGGTTGGCGTATGTGTAAATCGATCGTTGACCATAATCCATTCCACCACCTGTCCCAGTTTGACCTGACCTCTCGACCTAGAGAGGCGCCTGCTGGTGACTGGAATGGATTGGAAAGGGGGGGGGGGGGGGGTATATACCCTTCTCGTGTATTCATACGGGGAGGTAGGTAAGATCGGGGCCGCGAGGAGGGAAGGAACGATGAGATATGCTTTCGCAGCAATTGAACACCGCAAATCTATTCGACGTCTATGTGCCCAAACCCCTATATGTTCGTAACTAATATTGTTGTATACATACGCCCGACCTCCCAAGATGACCATGTCCCTCACCACCTGAATCACACATTTCAAACTCCAAAGTTCCGAGAATCGCCCGCGCCAAATGAACTAAATCTAGAAAACCTCCGTTTACCGGTTCTCGAGCTCCAAAGCGCCGTCATCGACGTCGTCCTCGTCGCCGTCTAATATCTGCGCCCCAGCCGGCCTTCCCCCACCGCTTCCGCTGCCGTTGTTACCACCACCACCTCTGCTTCCACCGCCCATACCTCGTCGCTCTTCAAACGACGAAAGTTGGATTCTCCCGCCGGAAGCCGTTGTCACCTTGTCAGAAACCCACCCAGCCGCACGCCGCATCGCACTCCACAACCTCTCCTGGCTCTCCGCAAAGGCAGAGTCATCGCGCGGATTCTCAGCGTGCTCGGCTGTGAATTGGTACTTGAGGCAGTCCTTGACCGTCACCAGACCCGACAGGCGGCCGTGGTACTCGACGAGCACGACTCGTGGGCCGATTTTACGGAACAGTTCCATGACGGTCTCAAGTGGTAGGCGCGGGTGCGCTGTGACGGGCGTGGTATCGATGTAGCGACTGAAGTCAACCGACATGGTCGACATCGGGTCCAGGTTGACCGTCACAGTCGGCGTAAGTGGAGTAGTTGCGTTGAGTGACGCCGGCGGAGGCGAGAAGGTGCATCGGGCCTCCGGGTTGATGGGTCTCTCTCGCCGTACGCGGTCAATGGCGTAGCGCAGCTCGGTGCGGCCGATGTAGCCGACGAGGATCTTTGAAGTTGTGTCCTCGACGATGGGGAAGCCCTGGTACTTGTCCTCCTTAAGAAGCTTCTCAAGCTCGGAGAATTCCATGCCGCTCACGGGCAAAGATGTAAGCTCCTTTCGCATCACTTCCGAGACGGGGACGCCAAAGTTGTGCTCTTCCTTGTTGTCTAAGAAGGGGAACCCGCTGAACCAGATCATCCTGTCCGCAATGCCGCCCTTGCCGAACGTTTCGCTGACGATCTTGGTCACACCCACCACGATCATGGTGGGTAGAATGTACGTCAAGGCGCCGGTGAGCTCAAACATGATGACAACGACGGATACGGTAATGTGCATGATACCACTCAGCGCGGCAGCAGCGCCAAGGAATGCGTACGTGCCGGGTGTGATACATGGCTCGTCCGGCTTGCAGGCTGCGAAGAAAGCACTCGTAGGATTGGCTTCGTGAATGGCCTGAACAATAATACCCACTGTCCGCCCAAATGAAGCCCCGATGGCCATGGACGGAACGAAGATACCAGCTGGGACTTTGCAGCCGTACGAGATGATGACCAGCAGGATTCTGAGGATCGTAGCCAGAGCCAGTGACAAGATATTGGACAGTCTCTTGTCTGGTTCGCAGAGGCCGTGGTAGTCCTCAGCTCCTTCGCATTCGAGGAACAGGATTTCCATGCTCTCGGTCATGTCAATCCTCAAAAAGACGTTGGGATAGCAGATGATGGCAGTGCCGGCCGCGAGAATCGTTGCCTCCGCGATGGCGTACTTTGACAGGTACTTCTTCCTGAATGCCTGAGCCCGCAGATTCCACTTCATCACAAAGGCGCCGTATAGACCGCCAAAGATGCCCAAGATGATGTAAAAGACAACCTCGAAGAAGTGCCACGAACGATCGTAGTGGACCTGGAACATGACGAGCTGTCCCGTCCTGAAGGGGTTCATGGCCGCAAGCACAGCCGTCGCCACAAGAGCGCAGAAGTAGCTGCGCCACAACGTCTTGAGGGGAAAGTAGTTAGACATCTCTTCCAGAGAGAAAAGCACTCCGCCAATTGGACTACCGAACGCGACGGCGACACCAGCAGCGGCGCAGGCGCTCAGTATCTCTCTCGTTTTGGAGGCGTTGCGTCGGTACTTCTCGAATAAGCGAGAAATGACGTTTCCGGTACACACGGCGTAGTGTACACTGGGACCCTCCTTGCCGACGGACAGACCAGAGGCGATGGCCAGGGGCAGACAGACGGACTTGATCAAGAGCGTCCAGAATCCCAAGAATCCCTTCATGACGAAGCCCGCAATGATGCACTTGATCTCCGAGATACCCGATCCCGCGGCGTACGGTGCAAACGACTTGACCAGAGTGGCCGACGTGAAGGCGAAGAGGGCGCCAACGACAATGTAGATAACGTAGTTGGCTGGGCCAAACCCCGTCCAGGGGTGCCACTCGTCGCATCCATTGTCCTCTCCCCAGCAGCAAAAGTTCTCGTTCAGGTAGAACGCCGTTGTGCAGTGCCCCATTTTTATATCGGACAACCACTCCGTAATGATGTTCAGGAACGCAGCGTTGAGTCCAATGGCGATACCAATCAGCGTGACGACGAGCCAGCCCTGCGCAGCGTCGTAGGACTCTCGCAGACGATACCTCCAGCCCGCCGCCTGACCTGTGTCGAGCATGCCGGCGCGCCGCCTTCGACGCAGCTTCTTGCGCGCCTGCTCCCTGGCGGCATCTTGTACCCAGTCTATGGTGGTGAAGTCCTCGTAGCGCTTGATCTCGGCGATCTCGTCCTCGATCTGCTGCTGCTGATGACTCGCGGGCGGGGCGCCGGCGGCCTCGTCATCGTGCTCGCTCTGTTCGGCGGTCGAGACGGCAAAGGAGATCCTCGAGCTGATGGAAGGGCGCGGGGGCCGGTGCGGGCTGTGCGAGAAGGATGTGCTTCGGGAAGTCATTGTCGCATCCGCGCCGTGCTCATGTTCGCGGCGGTCGAGGAGTCGTGGTGAAGGGCCGGACGTCCCAATGAGTGTCGTCCCCGAAGTTTGGCTGCTTTTTCGTTCGGTTTGGCTCTTGTTCTAACAAGGCTTCGTATGGTGTGTAGTCGTAGATGTTCTCTAGGCAGGCTTTCTTAGATTGCCAATCACCAGGAGGAGGCAGGAATATGTAGTCGCAGACTGCGGCGACGAGGCTAGCTGGGTGAGCAAGGATGATGAGGACAGTGATGGCCGATTTGCCGTCTCCCAGCTAATTGGGGTCACTGGGGACGCTGCGAACGTCTCCAATGTGGCGGGGGCTCCCCTGCAATTGGCGTTTAAGCTTCCACTTACCTCGCCTGGTACGCTGCACACCGGCGCGTTTTTAGTGGTCGCGTCCCAATGGCCTTTTTGGCGCGACCCGACTCTATCAAAAGTGATTCCCTCTCTCCTTGACGACCACGTCTGAGAAGACATCTCACATCCACGAAAACCTACGACCGACGAAACCACGGCAACTACCTAGCGAAGAAATCACTGCGTCACAGCGAATTAGCTTAGTCGAGACAAAACCAAGCAGACTCGCCCGTTGACGCCGGTATCTCTCTAACCCCTTATCCTCCTCGGCGACCACTCACGCCAAGGTTCAATCAGGTAGGCTGTTCTTCTCCTTCACCAAAATCCGCATCTCAACCCTATGGCACGGCCAATTTCGACAAGAGCATGACAACCGGTGTTTGATGTATTATGAGACGTTATGAGATAGACCTTGGATTCATTCCCGGACTCACTTACATGCACCCCATTAGACTGGATTTGCAGGAGCTGCGGAGATGGTCTCTGGTGCTTGGCTTGCGTTAGGCACCCTATAAGAGGTCGTCTACCTCAGGTACTTCAACCAACTCAGTTTGATTCCATCTTCCTGCATACTTAGGCACCTTGGGAGGTCTTACCGACTTACACCAGCTTTCATAACAATGTCCATTGTCTCGTATACCTAGTAGCTAACATCAATCAAGGCACATCATCTAAACCTCGCCTCCTGACAAGACACCACTCACATCCCATCCCAACTCACAATGCCTCCCAACAACAACGCGATACCTCCCAGAAAGGAGGTCACAGGCCAGCCGGCCCTGCCTCGTAAGTCACTCACCTCCCTGCTCACGGTCTTACGGGTTATTCTGACAGCCCCTGACAGTGGCCCGCGTGAAGAAGATCATTGGTACAGATCCAGACATTGGAATCTGCTCAAACAACGCGGCTTTTGTTATCACTCTGGCAACAGTATGATGCTCTCACCCACGCTCTTGCTCCTCATCTTTTATCGAAAGGGGCATGCTGACCCTCCACTCCAAAGGAAATGTTCATCCAGTACCTCGCCGCCGAGGGCCATAACATGGCAAAGGCAGAGCGCAAGCCCCGTCGTAACGTTCAATACAAAGACTTGTGTACGTGACTCTTGCGAAGCAATAGCTTGCTTCTTCTTGGCCTGGCTTCCCTTTGCCTCAAGCGGTTTCAAGGGGTCAGCAGAAGCATCATTGAAAAGTCACTAACAAGGCAAACGTACCCTCCAGCAACCGCAGTCAACCACCACGACAACCTCGAATTCCTCGAGGACGTCATCCCCAAGACGGTCCCCTACAAACAAATCAAGGACTCGGCCGCCGCCGCGCGCCTCAACCCCCGGAAAGCTGACCAGGAGCCCAAGAAGCGGCAATCGACCCTCAAAACGAAGGGCGCCAACGCAGGCGCTTCCAGCAGCGGCAACAGCAACGGTGTCAATGGCACAGCCGCCGCTGCCGCCTTGGATCCAGTCACAGCTGTCATTCATTCCGACGATCCCAGCGCCCAGCTGGTCGCCGAGGCTCGTCGTGCGGCTGGGGACGAGGATGTTGACATGACGGGATAGGGAAAGCTCTAGTCCGTTCTTCCTCTCCGGCCGTTCCTTGGAGGGATAGCCCCTTTTTCTTGAGCTGAGCGGGCATCTGGAAGCTTGGCAGACTGTCTTTTGCGATTGTTTGTACGGAATAGAAGCACCTTGGTCAAGGAGCTTGGGTCTGAACAGCCAATATTATAATAGCCAGGACCGCAGCATTCACCAATGAGGGAGAAAGGGACACAATATTACGAAGTGTACGATGCATAAATGGTCTCCTTTTTTTTGCCACCGAATGAATATTGAATGGGTCTTTTCTCTCCCCAGATCCAACGATCCCTTCATCCATTAGCGAAAGGGGGAAAGGTTCGTCTTCGACTCAAAATATCCCCTTTTTTTTAGTTCTTCATCAACAAAACAAACGCCAGTCCATGGATATGACCCGTTTTCTTCGCAATCATAGTTGAAGTTGCCTCTCTCCTCTCCCTCAAGTACATCCTTCTCTCTCAAATAAGAGGAATTCGAGTGGTTGACCCTGCCTCCAGCCGCAACCAAAACACTCAGTCCTCCATGGTGGCGTCCCCGTCCAGGTGTACACCCGCCGGGATAGTTCCCTCGGTCAACATCTTCTCCAGCCGGATAATCTCCTGCAGGCTGTCGGCCTTCTTGATCATCTCCTTCAGCCGCTCCTTCTCCTTGTCCGTGAGCTTTATCCTCGAGAGCTTCGAAGGCGCGGCGCCGCCACCGGCCGTGCCATTGGAGGCTGCGGCGGCGATGTCGAGCTGTTTGGACTTGTTGCCCATGATCTGAGAAAAACACGCCAGAATGAGTGTCGAGTAGACATAGAATCTGAAGGAAGGGAAGATGAGGGCGTGGACATACCTTGGCCGCCGCATCTGTAGGCTCCTCCGCCGTACCAAACAGCTCCCTCGCCTTCTCCCTCTCGGCCTCCTTGACTTTCTGGTAATCCAGGAACCGCACAGTCGGACACCTCCAGACAACCCAGTATCGGTAGTTCTAAAGCCCTCACTGTCAGCCTTCAACCCCGCCATGAATCGCCCCCTTTTTTTTCCCGTCAAAGAAATAATAAGGAAAAGGGTAAACAGTTTGCAAAAAGCGCACCTCCTTCTTGGTCACCGGGTTATCCACCAACACCAAATGCGTCAACCGCTTGAACCCCGCCAACACATCCAGGTCCGCGAGCTGCGCAATCTGGTTCGACGCCAGCACGAGCTGCTGCAGGTTCGGGATCGCGTTGGGGAGCGACGTCTGTATGCTCGCGACACGGTTGTGCGCCAGCAGCAGCGTCGAGAGGCGCGTCGAGAGCGGGAAGTTGCCCAGGACCTGGATGTCGTTGTCGGTGAAGTCGATGGAGTCGTGGGGCTGTTTTTTGCGCAATTAGAACAAACGGTCAGCCAGAGGACAAAACTCAAGGAAAGCAGAGGAGGGAAGGAGAGAAACTCACGCCTGCGACACCCAGGTTCTCAATCGCTGGGATTCGATGTCCTATTCATTCCAACCGACGCAAGACGCTATCAATTCTGGCCCTCAAAAAGTGTAGTATCTGCTCCTTTCACACAAAACGCACCTCGGAGATCAAGCTCTCGCTCCTTGAGCGGATTCAGGTAGGAGAGCGAGCCCTTGATGAGCTCCGCCGTGAGCCTCATCTTTGGTTTCTTTGGCTTTCGTTGGTGGTAGAAATGCTGGTGATTTGGTTGTGCTGGGGGTTACCTCTCTCGAAAGTTCTCGGGTTCGCCGTGGGCTCAGTGGTGATGCGACTCGGGTTTGTTCGTCGAGCTGTGTCGTCGGTCAGTGGTGCCGCCGCAATTCGTTTTTCGTTGTCGCGTCTTGGGGTTGGTCGCGTGGGTATAATACTGGGTGGACGATTCGACGAGGCTGAAAAGTTGGCGGTCGAGCAAGGCGCCCAAAATTTCCCGCCTGATTAGAGCTGCCATCCCCGCGATTTCGTACTGTGTATCTAATTCTCGACACGGCCCATTATCCACTACGGGTACGCCTGGTATGTGAATATTTTAATTTGGTTGCGCACTGTGTCTTCCGTACCTTTCAACCAAAGCATGTCTCATTCCAAAGGTATTCAAGTTGAATAGACATGAAATTGTATTCGTCAGATAACATTTTATCAATGAAGAACCTATCATTGTTACGTGATCATTGACAAGACTCAAATTTCTTCCCCCATGTGTTACGAATCTTGTATAATGTATTCACTAGGTATCTATGTTCAAAGAACCCTCGACCAAACGCCCAAGAAGCAGTCCGCTATGAAAACACAAACACCACGCCAGATCGATCCACCGACAGCGTCATGCTATACGGGAGCTCAATCAGCGCAACATCCATAATGGAATCCAAGTGAGACCGCAGAAGCTGCTGCTGCTGAAGTGAAATCACAGTCGAGCGCGGCGGTCGCCCACCAGCCGCCGTGCTCTTTCCGCTGACCGCCGCATTCGGAGCCGTCGGCGCTTGTCGCGGGATCCTTTCCGTGTTCAGCGTCATGGCCGTCGTCGGATGGGAGGCCGTGAACGTCGGCTTCGGATCCTCCCCTTGCAGCCCGCTATAGACCACCGAACTTTCTATGCGAGACAAGTCCCAGAATCGTAACTTCTTGTCCGATCCCGCGGTGACGATGAAAGCATGCCGTACGTCGCGTGAGTCCTCTGAGGCGCCTGTGCCTGCTACCATCGCACGAACACCTCGGTCCGTGTTTCCGGTACCGCTAGGCTCAATGTTGGTAGCAAATCGCCCAAGCATACCTTCAGGCTTGTCCTCGTCCACTTCCCAAGCCTCGTATCCCTTCGGGCCCTCCTTATTGCCCCCAACGCGGTAAATCTCTCTGCAGATTGTACGCTCTAGGTCCCAGACGGTGACTTCGCCCTGACCCGTTCCACCAGCGACGCAGACCCATTTGCCTCTGCCCTTGCTCGGGTGTATGCATAGTCTGTAGATGGAACTCTTGCCAGGAACGCCCCAACCCTTGAGTCTCATTCGGAACCTTAGGTCCCAAAGGTCTATGACTCCATGAGTAGTTCCTACGCATAACCAGTTTCTCTTACGATCGACACAGAAACACGTAGGTGTACCATGGTGCACAGGGTTCTCCAGCGTATACAGCAGTGACATGGTCCGCAGGTCGATGCCGAGAATCCTGGAGCGATTCGTCGCAAGGAGCATCACCGAGGTGGATTCCACTTTGAAGTGCTCGCACCACACTGCGTACTCGTCTTCTGGAAGCTGATACTCCCGGAGAAGACGAAGTTTCCCGTATCGCAATGTGCCACTTGCTGAGACGGTCTCGACCTTGACAATGTGAACGCTTCCATCGCTGGCGCAGCTGATGAAGCAGTGTGTGTTCTCAATGAAGCACAGCGCAAGCACCCTAGCGCCATCGGCATGCTTATGGCTTTGTCTTGATCGGTGCGTAATGTTCTTCTCTAGGCGCGCACTATCCCAGACTCTGACGGAGCCATCATCGCCTCCTGTGATGAAGAACACATGGTCTGGAGACACCACCAGACGGTTGATTGAGCCGGTGTGTTCAGCAAACGTGGCAACCATGCGTCCCTGTGGACGCCACGGCTCGTCGCCTGGCTGTCCCACTGAGCGATTCGTTTTCCGACGTGTGATAGGGGTAACCATCGGTCCGAACTCGGCGATATCGTGAGGATAGTTGTCCTGGTACATGGAGTCGAGCATTTTGAGAATGCTGGGGTCGGTTCCCTCATAGGAGTGATTGGGCCTTAATTTCGCCACGACACTCGCAGTGCTGGTTGAACGGTCCTGTAGATTTGGTCGAGCAAGAGGAGTAGGAGCAAACGGACCCTCCACTTGGCCAACAGCATTCGCTCCCGACATGCCAGTCTCCGGCACGCTCTTATTGCTGTCTTTGCGGTCCAGAAGACTAAGAGCGCTGGCCTGGTGGCGAATGGCCCTCCGAGTTGCGTAAGGCTGATCATGGATAGAGGCCCCATCGTCAGTCGGGCTCCCGACCGTGAGCTTACCCTGCCCAGTCGATGCGCGTCTCGCAGGATCGATCTCTCTCACACGAGAAACGTCACGCGAAGTAGACCCGTGGTCTTCCACCACGCGAGTCCGGAGACTGTTGAGAGCTGCAAACCGTCTCCTTCCTGTCGAGTCATCGATTGTCATGGAGGCATCCAGAAGAGCATCAGCAATGGTGTACGGGCCCTTCTGATTTGACTCGGGGGTGAATGTGGACTGTTGCAGTGGCTCCTCGTCAAAGAATACTGTCTGCGGCGTGATGCCGAGACTCTTCAAGGAGATCACTTCGTTGAGCTTGGCCGGTTCGCCGTCCATGCCATCTCGCGACTTCATTTTGCTGATTCGCCAAATGAATTCTCGCAAGACGAGGAGTTTGAACTCGTCGTCCGGCCCAAGGCCAAGGTTCCGAAGGCGGCCAAGCCATAACTCGTCTTCATCGTTCCGCGAGACTTTGCTCAGTGTATCCTTAGACGACCGACTGCTGATAGTCTTGGGAAGCGATCCAAACGAAAATGACCTGAGCTGCTGCGTCAGCTTCCAGAAGACGCCTTTGTCGGTCTTGAGAGCCCAGACTAGGGCCTGATCAAATACGGCTCTCGACATTGGCCGTTTCAAAGCGTCCAACAGACTGAGCTCTGAAAACGCAGGTACCATTCCAGTCTTGAGGTATTGCTTGACCAGGGGATACACGATGCACCTGACGTCTGCTGGAGACAAGAAACGAGTTGTCTCAGACAAGAACTCCGTCGCAGATTCTCGGATCCATTGGTTGGGGTGCATCGTAAATCGTGCAACAACGTCAATAAGCTCCCAAATCTTGGTTTTGGAAAGGAGGCCCAGCCGTGCCAGCTGTGCCAAAGAATGCAGGGCTGCTTGTACCACAAACTCCTCTGGATCGGTAAAGGCCTGCACCATGAGCGGCAGCATGAACTCCTCGAGGCTGACGCTTCCCACCACGCTGGCTATACTGACGATGGTTTCGAAAAAGGCACACTTTAGCATCCAGTCTCGGTCGTTTAAGTAGGTGTTCAAATGGGTTAGAAGAATGTCGTTTGCCTCTGCGGGACCAAAGAAGAGGCACAAATCGGGCACAGAAGTCAAGAACGCCCTGCGAACAGAAACATCCGAATCTTCCACGAGTGCCTTCGTATGTAGCTCAAACATTTCGTAGAGTTCGCGTTGTGCGTCGTCGAATAGCCCATCAAAGGCAGCCTCCGCTTCGATCCCTGGCTCGAGCTCAGGATCAGCTACCGTCAGGGTTCCATCCGACTTGAGGGTTGCCGCGAGCTCCAAGTAGCGAGCAGCTGTAGTCGCAAGGCTTCCGATACAAGATGCATAGGTTGCTCGTACCAGTGAGCTAGCTGGTTTCGATGGTGCAATCAAGGCACTTTGCAGTCGAGGTAAGATGTACTCGACAAAGATGTGCGAGTTGACGGGAGACACCACTCGGACTAGGTGTAACAATTGAGATATGGACCGGAGCGCTGCGATAACCACAAGTTCCGAATTATCATTAAGAAGCGTCATAAGGTATGGCAACACGCGGTCTAGTTTAGCTTCGTCCGTGATTCTCTCGGAAAAGGCGAGCAACACATCACAGGCTCTGATCTTCGACGCCGCCCTAGCCGTATTACGGAGGGATGAGACAATCAGCGTGAGGAAGATCAAAGTCCCGTCATCTTCTGGCGGGTCGGACGACCCGGTGATGTACTGTTCATGGTTTGGTATGTTGAGGCGAACAGGAAAGTGGCCCAACCCCAGCTTTCCGGCCAGGGGCTCGGCTTGCATTGGGCGTTTGTCGTTTGGATAACCGAGAAAGTAAGATATTTTGTCAAAATCGAGGAATACGCGGTCGATACGGTCGTCCGCTTCTCCCAAGTTCCTCGTCGCACCAGATATAGGACTGTTCCCAGATGAAGGATCCGTAATCAACTCCATGTACTGGTGAAGGAAGTTGTAGAAGTACTCGGGAAAGACCTTCTTCTTCCAGAAATCCAAGTATTGCTCTGCAGAGTACCGACGTTCGGGGTCAAGCTGAATCATGTGCGATATCATATCCCGCAAGTCCTTGTCCGGAATACGACTGATTTGCGAAATGACTGGGTCATACTCGCCCTTGCGGAACTTGTACAACGAACTGAGTGTGAAAATGGGCGACTCCAGGAACATCTCAGCAATGACGCAGCCAGCACTGAAAACATCCATAGCCCACGTAAGCTTCGCGTCCTTGCTGTTAACCTCCTCCGCTGCGACGAAGCGTTCAGGCGCAACATAACAGGTTCGCCGTCCGGATGTGTCAAAGTAGTACGAGAAGTCGCCTGGATTGTCATTGGGCAGCAGTATGGGCTTGAAAGGAGCAGAGAAGTCGGAGAGGTATAGCCAGTTCCAAGATGTCACTAGCGTGTTCTCCGTCTTGATGTCGCCGTGATAAATGTCTCGGGCATGGCAGTCGCGCAGGGCGCACAGCAGCTGGAAAGCAAGCCATTTCTTCTCGATGTCCTCCAGGAATGGACGGGTACTCATGCGATCGTAGAGGGAGTTGTAGAGGAACTGTCGGACTAGGTAGCCATTCGTTTCGGTCTCGACGATCCGGTGGAAGCCCAGCGCATTGGGCACATCGGCCAGGCCGCTACGTTGTTCTTGA